GAAGATCTTTTTAGAACAGGGTCAAAGACAAGTGGAAATGTTTATTCCCCCTCGGGGTGATCCTTACAACACAATAGTAAACAATGTGGCTTAACATCGATGTTAAAGGCCCTGTCACACTAGACAACTTATGCCAACTTATAAACATTTTAAAGACATCTACTGGTACATTGAAGATGGAATACCTAATACCTAATTTCCCTCTGGGATCAATAAAGTATTTTTGAATTGAATTGAATTGAATTGAAAAAATCAACAGGAAGCTTCTTTTCGGCGTATACATAATGTAATTTGAACAAATTGATCTAATATATCACTTTTATTAGCAATTTAGACATTAAAAATAAGTAGGCATAAGTTATCTAGTGTGACGGGGCCTTAAAGAGATTCTTAGGGGCCCACCTTTCTGTGACGGGGGAACCCTCCGGTTTTCGGGAGATGACATAGCGACAGCTCAGACCCGCGTCTTTCACCATCTGGTCTCCCAAGAACTCTGCGAGTCTCTTAGCTGTGCTGATGGAGGTGGACTTCTGCTCTCCATAGTCCTCAAGCCTTCTGGACATGGACCGATTCTCTGAGATCAGGTCAAACAGCTCTGCGTCAGGCATGTTGGCAGCCTGGGGAAAAGACAAACAAACAAACAGTAAATTTAATCAATGTTTATGACTAAGATCAAAGAAGAGGATCTTATTAGGAACAGTTTTTACCTTGCTGTACAGCACATCCAGCCAGTAGTCGGCCACTTTGGCCACAGAYGCGTAGACCTCCTCCAGGGTGGTACCTTTGAGGAAAGCCTCGAACACAGAGGACTGAAAAATCTTGATGAGCTGGAGCTCGCCTCTTCTCTTCACTTCAAAACCTTTGAGCTCAGCCAGAGAGCCGTCCTCATTGAACACAGCATACCTAAAACCAGAGCAGGCTCACCTTAAAGCACATGATTTTATCCTGCCCCTCACCAGCCAGCAGCAGGTTTTTGGTTCACCTCTTCTTGAGCTTCTTCCCTTCCTCCTTGGAGGCGGGCAGGATCATCGCCAGATACGGTCCATCCACCTCGAAGAAGATGCTGTTCTCCGAGCGGACGTTGTAGTCTAGTGTGGTGGGCTCCACCAGCTCGTGGTACTGCTCGTTGGTGAACCCCTCCTTCACCAAGATGTTCAGCATGGCCCCCGGGTAGGAGATGGGCACTTTGGGCTTCTTCTCATTGCTGGTTTTTATCACAAAGTTCTCCGGGAAGGTGTTGGGAAGGACACACCAGATACCRTCAGTGTCCAACTCCAGAGGCCTCCTGAACAGAGAGAAATACAGAGCACAACTGTGGAATTGTTTTCACATGAAATATATATTTTAAATGTYCAAATAGACTTTTGAAGGTTACAGAACAAACTTAAACGGCATAGCTTTTGTGTTTTAAACTGAGATCATCTTGAGAAATGATGTAGTCATTTCAACAAACCTTGAAAAAAAAATCAGAGTATGTGTTGTGAATAACTCTCAGCTACTACCACATCAGATTTTAGCTCAGTATCTGTAAAAGTGGCTGACTTAAAGTCATTTTTGTGTTCAGGCTGTGGCAGCCAGCTTGGTGTGACTCCAAAAGTGAATCAGTTGTAGATATACATCTAAGGATTGATTTCCGAGAGTGTCATTGAACTCCATCCAGTGATTCATTTGATATTTTGCTAACAGACAAAGCGTTGACTCCAACGGTTACTGCCAAAGTTTTAAGCAAAGTTWTTGTGCAATGTGTAGCGCTCAAAGTATGTGTTGGAGAAGACTCTCAGATACTTCCATACCAAATTTTAGCTGATCGTTTGCAAAACTGTCTAAATTATAGCCATGTTTTGCATTTGCTAAGGCAAGTAGGCTGCAGCGGCCATCTTGAATCGGGTTGACTCATCMGTTATAGATGTGAATGCAATGTTTACATTTTGAAAGTTTTATTGAAATCCGCCCAGTGGTTTTGGAGATATTTTCCTAACAGACACACAAGCATTAAAATAGTATCCTGTATAAAACCCTCTGGAATGAAAGAGTGGAAATACTTTAGGTGATCCGATGTAGCGTCTCCTCACCCTATTTGCTCAATAAGCTCCCTGGCCTGAGTGATGATGTTGGCTCCGGTGTAGCACACGATGCCGGCCATCTCCATCGAGTACCAGCGGGCTCTGGCACAAACAGACAACATGAGGCTGAACTGACAGCAGCCAAAAAAAMCCCCCAAAAAAACTGAAGAACAACGTGATGAAGATGCATCTTTACCCTTTTCTCATGACGTAGCCGTAAAACGAGTTAAGAATGCACTTATGAGCCAGCTGAAGGGACTCGTACAGGATCTCCATATTTTTACAGCGCTTCACCTCAGCAGCATCTCCGCTGTCCTGCGCTGCCGAAAGTTTCTTCTTCCACACCTTCAAGCAAGAACAAAAAGGGCAAATATGTATCACAAGATGAAATGCACCAAATAACCGGACAATCTTAGAACACCAGCACCTACTTTGTGAAGTCCTTTGAACTCATAACGCCGGTCCCTGAACGCTCTGACCGTGTCGACGTAGAAGGAGTTTTCTCTCTGACAGATGGTGGTGACCCGCTCCTCCAGCCTGGTCACGTGCGTCTTTTTGTAGGCCTTCTTGCAATAGTCTAATATTAAAACCAGACAGAGCAGAAACACCGATTTGCACGACTTGAAAAGCAAAAACTGCCAGAAGTGACCCGAACGCAGACGATACCTGCCAGACGTTTCTTCTCATGTTTGGCCTGCTCCTCCCTGTTCAGGGTGTGGAAGGCCCGGGCCGGCCCGTTGGGGTACAGAGGGGGGAACTTCTCGGACTCCAGCTGCTGCTGGATGCGGTGAAACTCGCTGCGACTCGCGGGCACTGAGGACAGAGGGGGATTCTTCATGAGTCAAAGTCAAATGAAATGTTTGTTTTTTTTATTTAATTCCTTTAAACGCATAATAAAAGTTTAAACTTACTGATTTCTCCCCTCCACTGCCAGGCCATCCTCCTCTGACACAAGGCACCGGGCTTGTTGAAGTCRCACGCAGCACACGTGGCCTCGTCCACCATAGCTGACGGCTAAAAGCAACGAGGATAAAGATGCTAAACGCTTCTCTACCGTATACACTGTGTCATTTTGTTTTATTTTACCTGAAGGCGGTTGGTGAGGATAATGTTGGGGTACATTGCTCCAACATCCAGATGGTAAATAAGGGGACATTCAATCCTGTTTGGAACCTCCTTCAAGGACGTCAGCTTCTTCTTGATTTCATCACACACCTGACAGAATAACAGTTACCTGATGGCATCGCGACAACAGAGTCCAGTCAAAAAGACGACGAGGAAACACGATCAAACCTCATTAAAGTTGGTAACTTGCTCCAGAGGGAGTTTCTCTTCCTCCTCGATGGCGTGCCGCATGGTTCTCTCGACTCTTTGAAGCAGAAAGTCAAACGCAGCTGGGTTCTGTCAACGCGGGACATCGAGTTGCCATTATTAAATCAAGAACTGGCACGAGAGAGAAGGAGGAGGGAGGCTCGCTCCGTCGTACCATTTTAAAGCGACAGGGGATGTCGCTGCGGAACACGCCGGACTCCAGCGCCTCCACGTGTCCGCCCACGTACGTCTCCGAGTCCATGACGTGGCCGTCGTCCGTCAGCTTGTTGAAAACCTGCTCCTGCTTGTTTGGGAACACGATGTTGGCGTGGAAGGCCTGCACCATGAGCAAGGCTTCACACAGAGTCCCTGAGCCTTTACGCAGCACCTGCTCACACACAAAGACAATGATAATAATAATATTAATAACAATAATCATAATAATTATAACAATAAAAATATAATAATAATAACAACAAAAAATAATAACAATAACAATAACAACAACAACAACAATAATAATCAAATGCTTAAGAGGTTTTCCTTTTGTTTTTTGTTGCGATGGAAGTGTGTTAAAGCAAAGGCCAGAACCAGACCTCATCAGGCTCCATAGGGATGATGGTGCACAGTGCGAAGATGAAGGGGTGAACATATTTCATGTACAGGTAATACGTGGCCACAGCGTCTGACACGGAGTAGGTCGCTAAAGTCTGAGGAAAACAGAGAAAAGTGTTTTTGAAAAAATGCAGCTGTCCTTTAAAATCAATTGTTTGTTAAAGGAGGTGATTAGGGGTGGTCTAAATTTCCTTTCTGGACCTGTGGTTCTTCGGTTGCCATGCGGCACATCTCCTCAGGATCCAGCTCCACCGGGTCGTAGCCCAGTTTAGCTTTGGCTGCTGCCTTCAGATTGTGACTCCCCACGGGCAAGTAGCTGTCTCTCTTCACCCACCTGATGCAAAGGAGGGAGYCAGCGGGATTATGTTAGGTCTTATTTACCTTACCGGCCACACTTTTATGATTTAAAGAGGGTCAGAGTCGTTCCCACCTCAGGCAGTCCATATGGATGGCCTGACTGGACTTGTACTCCCCCTGGCTGTCCTTCTGGAAACCGATTTCCCTGTGCATGCTCAGTCCATGGAGGGCTGCCCGAGTTTCCACAAAAGGCCTACAGAGAAGTCAAAACAACATAAAAAAATAAGCCCATCTTTTCTTGAAGAAATAAACATTGCTGGTTAGATCGCTTTAGAAAGAGCTCACCAGTCAAAGAAGTCTCCATTATAGGTTACAAAGATATTTGGCTTTGTTTCTTGCACGTGATCAAACCACCTCTGAATCAGAGCGGCCTGCAAACACATAGCAGCACATTAACACACATCTGCTTTATACTGTAACACACACACACACACACACACCTACAAACCTCATCGTCTTCGTTAAAAACAGTAAAAGGCCCCTCGTATTCAGGTTTGGGANAATGTAGCTTGTGCCACACAGTGAAGCAACAGATAAACAGTTTTTGCATTCAAAAGCAGATTTATGTCTCACAGAGCGTATGTCCAGGTCGTGCAGGCTGGGCATCTTTAGCCACTTGCGGAGAAAATGCTTCTTGACGCTGGGTTCTGCCTGGAAGATGGCCAGAGGAATGGCTCTGATGGAGACAATATATAGATGGTGTCAAACCCCATGCTTTCACTGCTGCCAATAAATGTAAAGAGACTGTTCCCCAGAGAGACTGRGGCGAGGAATCAACTCTGGAAGCATTTTATTTGGTTTACTAACACAAGAAAATGTATCATATCCATCATCCAGGCAGTGAGAAATTATATATATGTACACACACACACACACACACACACACACACACACACACACACACGCACACACACTGCTGTTGGCCTACAAACCTCATCGTCTTCGTTAAAAACAGTAAAAGGCCCCTCGTATTCAGGTTTGGGAGTGAACTCAAAGTCCTCGATGTTCTCAGAGACTATCTCTCTGTTGGTGATTAGAAACCCCTGAAGAAACACACGAGAGCTGCCAGATGACACAAAAGAGAATAAAACCATGTAAACGCCCCAAACCTGAAACGCACCTGTCCGTCAATCATGTAGGAGATCATCATGATCTGATCCGTCTCTGCGTCGGGGAATTTCAGAGGAAGTTTGGTGGTCTCGATGTCAAACGCCAAAACGACAGGGTCCTAAAACGACAAAAGGACGAAAAATAAAATAAAGACCTAGCATTCCTTTCGACAAACCTTGTAAACGGCGTGATCTCTTGTGATTTTGCGAGACATGTAAATACTCAGACTATATTGTGGGGATGACTCTCAGCTACTACMGTATAACTTTTGACTCCGTACGAGTAAAACTGACTGAGCTATAGCCATATTTGTGTTTGCTAATATCAATTAGCCGTAGCAGCCACCTTAAATTTGATTGACCCCAAATGTTAATCAGTTGTAGATGTACAGGGAGTGATTAACCTCTGAACGTTTCATTCCGACCCATTCATTGGTTCATGAGATATTTTGCTAACAGACCCAGTTGACTTCAATAGTATAAGGACAATTTTTATAAAGAGTTCTCACTCAACCTGTCAGAGGTTTGTGTATGTGTTGAGTTGAAAAACAAGCTTCTTTACTGAAGCTTTAGCTCAGCATCAGTAAAGTTCACCGAGTTAGAGCAGGTGTTGAGGAGTCTCATCTACGACCAACCCAAAGTCCTCACATAGTAATCCTTATAAAAGAGCAACAGATCTGACTTTCAGCACAATAAAACGCACGCACCGGTCGCTCCACGAGATCATCCCTGCGTACGATCTCCGGTGGGTAAGCGCTGCCACGGTACTGAACGTTGTACCAGTGAGCCTGAGCAAAGGACAAGATCCAGATTACCACAGCCCGTGTGAAACCACACATTCTCTGTCAAAACAAATAATAAATAAMATACCACATGAATCTTGAGGTCAATGGACAATCGGACGTGGTAAGGCACATCGTACTCTCTCATGTCCACGATGTTGTCCAGCTGATCTGAAATACTCTTAGACTTCCCGTCTTCCTCCGCTGGGGCCACGCTGCCTCCTGACAGGGCACTACAAAAGAAAAATTGTAATATTATAATGAACAACTGGACGTATTGGTGTGAAGCTTTCGGGGACCGGACTGGATGGACACTACCTCGACAACATGGACGTGTAGGCATCGTTGGACTGCTCTCTCTCTCTGTTCTTGCGTACGGCCGGAGCAATCTCACGCTTGACTTTGATGAGGTCGTCCACAGTGTTGAACGACAGCTTGATGTAGTTTCTCTTCAGGCCAACCAGATGGTTCGGCTGGAGGGAGCAGGGTGTTGTGTTGAAATGTGAGATAACCAACAACAGACTGTTTTGGGATAGCTGCGAAAAGAATGTCAAACATAAAGCGCTCACCAGATCCAGATCCTCTTTTGAAAGGTTTTCAAGCTTTGCCACTTTTCCTTGAAACTTCTTCGATAAATATGAGATGACCTCCCTTTCGCAATTCTGGGAAATAACAGCATTTATTTATTTCCAAGCATGACTGCATGAATAGGATCAACAAATAAAGCACATACTCACCATTTTAGTAGCGACATAGAAATAAGGCTTGAAGGGAAGAGCCACCTACAGTCCAGAATTATTGGAGAATGGTGTCAGAGCCATAAATACCGAGATCTGTGACTTAAACTAGATATTTAAAATGAACACACCTTGAATCTGCTCCCATCCTCCTGGATGAAATAATAGTCCACAGCACTGATCATCCTCTTGTCTTCATCCAAAATCTCTGTCTACAATAACAAAGCAATAAAAACGTGTTTAATGTCCCTCTGCAGGGGATGACTGAACCTGATCCACTTTTTCCGAGTGTGAGCTCACAGGGTGCATGTTGATCAGCCAACCCGTCCTCTCYCCGGGCTCCTTCATCCTGTCGAAGCCGAAGCGAGCGTCCATGTCGTCGGTGAACTGGCTGCGCTCCAGCCGCTTGGCGGCTGACATGGAGGAGCCGTCACCCCTGGTTCACAGTACAGCCACATTATTAGGCTCTCCTAACCCAACACACTTTAAAATAACGTTAGTAAGAAAAACTGCTGACAAACTTACTGGTTCTCCTGATCTGCTCCACTTTGCCCACGGTCCGACCGGTATCGTCCGCTGTTTTGTAAAACCATCTTAAAAAAAAAGATTTCTCGTTAAAATAAAGTGCAGAAAAGTCAAAAATCCATTCGACTCTTGAACCCCAATGAATAAAACCACACTCAAAATATAAATTTATCTTCAATGTACGGTTTCGTTCTGTCTGTGTAGCCAACATGGATTGCGTTGTTTTCTGTTTTCGCGCGTTCTGCAATTGCCGCGAGACCAGACCAGGAACAACAAAGATCATTTATTCAAACAAGATGAGTAACTTGGTATAGTTCCACTGTCACCACTGAAACGAGAAGGGTCTAGCGGTACAAGGCAAACTGTAAATTTTAAAACGCTGTCATAAGTTGATCGCTTAATACTTCAATAATGACAGCTGAGATTCCCGTACCAAAGTGAAGTGTTGATTTCTAACATAAAATGAGTAACCTGAGTCGATGAAATTTTGTTCAGCAACTTTCAGAAAGTTCATTTACAAMTAGCTTTTTTAAACATATTTTTATTTATGTCACAAAACAGTAAACAAGGCAGAAATGTATTTTATTTAGTTAACCAGCTTGAAAATAGGAACACATCAAATCAGTTCCTCCATCAATGGAGTGAATCATCTTGTACACATATGAGCTTTGACAAGCTTGTGGGCGGAGCTTGAGGACCMTCCTCTTGTGTTTACTATCACGTTCAGTAGAAGGTGGTGCTGCGGTCCTTTGTGAAAGGACAGTCTGGACTCGTGGTAGGTGTTTTTGACGTTGCGCCTTTGTACCAGGCTCAGGAAAGTTTAAACCCGTTAGAGGGCTAACCAGCACTGCTCTCTGAACGCACTGCTCGTTGCTTTCACGTTAGGCACAAAGGAACGCTTTTCAAATGATAAAAATAGCTCAGRGCTTTTAGTGAAAACATGACAACATATCGGTTAACCGCTTGTCTCGCGATAGGAAACGGAGCTGCTTGTGTTTTGAAATAACACTGCTAAATTAGTAAGGATGAATTTGTGATTATGTAAATATCTGTCTCTTTAGCCGTTTTCTTGTGTACATAATTCAGCTGTCGKTTGATGTCAGCATGGAGCTAAAAAGATATAAATTTATTGCTCAGCTAAATAACAAACTGTGTACACTGGGAATATGTTATTTTTTAACAGTTTGACACTTAATTTTACTTCCATATACACATCAAACAATTTTATTTTAAATGTGCATCAGATGATTTGCTTTTAATGTGTCTTTAAGGTGATGTCTTACTGCACTGAGAGGACAAATTCCTGTTTCCACATGCAAAACAAATCTTTAGTTCATCATTTAAATGTATTTTTTTTCTTTTACATGAAGTCCATATTAATATAGGTTTAAATTATTTTTTATTCAGTTAGATACAGATGTTTGTAAATGCTGTTTGTATTTCCACTCTTTTTTTTTATTATTTTTTTACCTTGTCTCCCTCATGTGCTGACCTTTAGCCCACATGGAGCAGCCACTCTGAGCTCTGATGTCAGCTGTTTCAAGCAGCCTGTTCACTGGACTCTGGCTGGGAAATATCTCCTGCCACGGCTTGCTGCTGAGCCGCATGACTTTGCAAAGGGGAAAAAAAGTATAAACTATTATTAACAACTGAACTGATATGAGTGTGATAGTCACCCCCACCCCCTACCCAGAATGCCCGGTGTCCTCTGAGACCTCCATATCTTTTCAGATTAGAGAAGCAAACAGACACAAATGCTACATCAGATAACGTTTTCTCTGTTTACTGAGGGACACCTCACAAATGTAAGGTGACTCATTTTGCCTCTAATAATATTATCTTTTTATATCATGATTTCAAAAGCATAACAAATTTATTGTTTGACATTTAGATTTGACTGAGTTCACATTAAAAATATTTCAGTTTACTCAAAAGATGTGTTTAGGGTAACTCAACTACTACTTCACCATATTTTAGCTCAATATCTGTATAACTGATGGCGTTAGCTATTTTGGTGATTGTTAAGATCAATTACCTGTGGTGGCTATCTTCAATTGTTGTTGACTCAMTAGCAGTTGGGAGGAAAAAGCAAGAATTATACAAACAACACAAAATCTAATACGTTTGGTCAGCAAACAATACTCATTGAATCTTGCACAATAGCACAAAACAAAGTATTTCAAGGAGAAAAATAAAATTTGTCTTTCGATGAAAAATTCCTGTAAAGATTGCAAGTGCATCTTTTTTTCTCGGTGTGACGATCATTCAATAAAAAGATGGTCCTGTTGATTTTCCCCGTTTTATTTCTGATGCCCTTCAGGAAGATTAAAATCWGTGGTTTCCAACCTATTTTCCTCAATTATTCAAATGGACTTGTGTATCAGATTTTTTATATACAAACAATAACATGATCATTTCACAATTTCTGATCAGAMAAGGTCATGGGCCTTCCCTGTGCTCTCTCTCTTCCCAGGTTAGGAACCAGTGATGTGGTGGTGTTCTGTAGCACCGTACAGCAACATTAGCAGAAATATGACCCAAAATCAAAAGTCTTAAAAAGAAAACCTGCTTCAKCTTTARTACAAAATTAAAYGTTACTAGAGAACAACTCTCCTCTTAGTTCTTTGTGGATGTGCTGTAGACAGGACTGTTTGACTGATGAAGAAGAGGCTGAAGAATTTCACAGGACTTGAAGTATTTCAAAAAAGACTGGATACGCAAAGTGTTTTAGTTGCTGCAAAAAGTGTTGACATGCTGTGATAGYTAATTTTTTCAAGGTATATCTCTCTTTTTGAGAGACTGTTGTCTCTTGCATAAATAATTATGTTGATCTTGTTTTTGTTCCAGCCTCAGAAGATGTCTGCAGATGCTCCTGTTTGCTGTGTTGGGAATAATCTTTTGCATCTTTGTGCTCCTGTGGAGAATTAACACCAAGTCAGAAGCGATGCCTGTGAAAGGAGAGGATTCTCAGGTGGCCGAGGAGGACGTATCCACTTCAAAGCCCGCTCCTCACGCAGACAAACATTCCCTGTTAGCAGCTGCTGTAAAATTATATCACAATGACAACAATYTGCTGGCCAACGGTGAGTCTGCAGGTTCTGCAGTCAAACCGGAGGAGCGGGATCCTCCGCAAGCCTCCCCTAAGGTAAATCCRGAGCAGCCCCCACTGCCGTGGGCCACCCAGAAACCCCTCAGAACCACCACACCGATGCAGGACTCTGGACCCGAAACCAGGGAGCGCCTCAAGTTTATTCTCGGAGCAGAGGATAACTCGTCAGATGAGGAAACAACAGAAACAAAACCTCCAAACGGAGCAGCTCAACCACTCGTTTCTACACTAGAATCTGAGCAGAAGTCTGCCACAGTGACGCCGCCCAGCTCTTCAATCATCAAGTAAGACTTGGTTTCTATTTCAGTCTAATGTAATGACATTTGATGTCTGAGGTCAGGCCTGTTTTCTTCATGTTGGTACAAATAAAGCACAAAAGCTTCTCACTAAACAGGAAAATATAGAGTCAGTTTGAGGATTTGCCTGTTCTGAAACTGCTGCTTCTGTGCGTTTGTCACCTGACTGCATCAGGGTGGGTYATTGTCATCTGCCAAACATCTCGACTCTATTATTGGAACAAGAGCTCCAGCCAGTGACTTTGAAAACGATTGTGGTTTGACTCTGGTCACAACAGTAAACAGTCCTCAACAGGTTTTCAGTTGTACTCTTTTTGTTTCAGTCTTGGAAGATAAGAGTTTTTTTATGCGCCGGTGAAAGACAGTTTTTACACGATGGAGGACCAGAGGAGGTGTTCACTGCACATACCTCTGTGTTCTGCTGTTTATTGGACATATTCAGTTAGAGRTGTGTGTCAGCAGGATCAGCATGTAGGAGACAAAGGTAGGCCATTTCTAGTCTGCACAAATTTCACTGTTAACTCTTAAGTGAGATATGTGTATCCTTATATYTTAAAGTCGTGAAACATTTATATAAATATAATAGCACACATCAGTGTGTAAAATAAAAGATAACTAGATACCGCWTAGCGGTAACATAATGACCCCCGCACGCAGAGATGCACCAGAACTCAGAAGTCTTTATTCCTAATAAATTTCATGCTATAGGTGCATCCCAAAATTGTAGTGGTTTGGATGGGGGGGCATTGGTTGACCTGATGGATGGCCCCTCATCAGAGCTTAACAACAAAAGAAATGTGAAGCTCCTATGTTTAATAGTTTTTGAGCAATAACCCTTTTTGTAAGTCCAGACACCCCTTTTTCAGATAAATTGGGGGTTCGGGGGGTGGGGGCACTGATTGGTGGGCCTATGGATAGAGCTTCATCAGAACTAAACAACCAAAAAAATCTGAAGCTTCTATGTTGAACAGTTTCTGAGTTATAAGCATTTTTGCATGTCCWGACACCCCCACTTTGAAAGGAGCCCCCTCCTCAAATATGGGGTGTATCATAAAACCATTGGCTGGTGCAGTGTAGGTCAGACTCATCTACAGTCCTGCCAAATTTCATGTTGATTGGTGCAGCCATTTTTGTGCTACGGTTGACCAAATATCTCCAGAGAAAAAAACAAACAAACAAAAAATAAACAGTATGAAAACAATATGACTCCCATTTACGCTTCGCTTGCGGAGGTTATAGTTAGATTAGCTGAGCAAGAGATTTGGGGATTTAAAATGTAATAATGCAGCAATAATATCTAATGAGTCCATGTAGAAAATATAAACACTTTGTAGTTTTAATAATGTTTTTATAAGTAAATATTTCCTGATTATTTCACCTTTTTAGTTATTATAAACTAATCCTGCTAATATCTACTTTGTAGTACTACATTATATTGCAGCACATTTCAGTTAAAAAATGACACCATTGAACCACATTAAAATTTAGAGTTATGGCATTTGTAAATCATTGCTTTCATAGATTCAGCTGATGCTGTTTTAGCCCAACGATGAGCCAGATTATGAAACGTTGTTCTGCAGCAGTGAAGCAAACGTCAGGAATGAARCAATCCTGTGCTCAGTGCTGCTCCTGAAATGAATTTATTAGCACAGAAAGAAGTCTGGAGCGTTGATTCTGAATGTGTGCAAAATTGGTTCACAAACCTTCTGCTCACTCACAGCAGCCACTGATCAGTCAGTCCTCTTTTGAACCTCAGCGTTTCATGATTTTACACCAAACAGCATAAAAAAACATTTGTATAGGTTTGACTTGTTTTGTTTTCAACACG